AAAAAAAAAAAAAAAAATAGTATCGTGCCTCTTGTCCATTTTGTAATTTTATATACTTGGAATTTTATTTGCTATTTGTTAGGATATTGTACATATTTAGACGTCTCCGCATATTGTGCGTCTCTTAGACTTGATTACGATTGTTCAATAGGAATGTGATTTCAATGACTTAAATATCGATTTGATTCGAATGAAAGTATAAGAAGATAGTGCGACATCACTGTTGAGAGATCTCGTATACTTTATATGCAGAATGTACGTGAATGCCAATTATACCGAGAAAACATTGTATAAACCACATTATACGCTTGTTCGCCGATCTACAAACATCGCTAATAATATTGCACGTGGCAATAAGTTACTGTGCACTTTGTAATGAATAAATTAGGAGGAAAGTAAACAGTCAAAGGTATTGATGAAGAAAAGTTCAAACTGAGAATAGGCGATATGTTTGGTATCGATTCTATATGAACACAGTGAGGATGAATAAATTTCATATAAAATATTTTTTTCGCATTTCAGCATTAATGAAATAAAAAAAAGGCTCGCGCGAGTATCGTATTTATCAGCAATCTACATATGTGCATAATACGATTGTCATGGGAGCTCTTATAAACGTCGATATAATTGAAATGTCGAAAATGAAACCATGAACTTATTTGTTAAAAATCCGTGTGCTAGTCAGATTTCCAAGGACGCACAATGATCCAAGAAATGCAGACGAGAGATAAGTCGGAAGTTTCTTGAGAAAACAACAGGAATAATATTTGAACACACAGAGCCTGCGAGAGAAACAGAGAGAATGTGATAGAGTGAATGAGAGATTATATGCGACGAAATCAGCAAAATTAGAGTAGGAATAATTAGGGAAATGATAATCGAAACTAACTTTAATATTTAATAAACTATTCGTCACGTTGCCAATAATTAAACGAATGCTAAATCAAAGCTAACATAACGAGTTTAGTAATATTCTGTGCCATTGTTGTTTTTGTTTTATTTATATATAAAGATAAAATTATATATAAAATATATAGATCATTCTTCGTCTTTTCTTATTGGTAGGTTCAAGTAACAGAATAATTTCACAATAAAATTGAAAGTAGATCATCGAAGCATTAAAATGAACAAGAAGGAATAGATATATTGCATTAACTAAATTCGATCATGTTCTTTAAATATTATGCATGAATTGAATTCTCACGTATATGAATATTCTCGAGATTTGAAGACGCACGCATACGTGTCTCATCTAACTCGGATGTGATAAAACACGTGATATAATGTGTTTTGATTTTCCAATAGGTGGCCAAATAGTGCCAAAAATGATATTTGACTATGCCCGACAGAAAGGCAATTGGATTCAAACGTTCGAATAGTCAGGCTATTTCTTTTACTTGGTGCCTTTGGCGTCGTCAGGACGAGATTTCGGGAATCGTCTTTCATCATCTTGTAAAAAAGGAAAGGATGAACTATCGTTGAAGCGATTGTAGTCTGCAACTAGCTAGAGAGCTCCTGTATTTACTGACGTTGGCGTAAAGTGGTCAGTGATGGAACTTTTAAATGTTTTTCATTAATTATTAGAATGCAAAGAAAAGAAAAAGAAGCAATCGGATTATCTACAATCTTCGTGTTCGTTTTGCAACTCTCTCGTCGTAAAACACGAAGAACGTACGAATTGATACATGTGTATCATTACCATCATTTAAGAATGTATCACGTCTATTTTCATAAATTGCGATAATCGCAAAACAAATTGTACGGACACGAATCGTTTTTTTATCTATATTGCGGTTTGATTACGGGCAGGATGAATAGTTTTTACGTTCACGGGAAATTACTATGATGTTTCACAGTATCCCGTGAATGGATTTTCGAAGGGGAAGCGTGAAGAATATATGCGTAGGATTTAGTGTGATTACCAATTTGTTTAACATAAATATTTTAACGTTTACCGATACTGTTTTCACAATTAATTATTCATTCATTATTCGTCGTAATTATTTAAGAAGAAAAAAAAAAGAAAAAAAAAATTAGGGTTTGACTTGGTGTGTTCGGATCGTGTATATATATACATATTATTAAATAATATAGAACCTAATGTAATATTAATACGGATTAGGTAGCTCACCGTCACTGCCTGCAGCGTTGGTCGTGCTGAGAACACGGACCTTGGCACTGCTGTACTCTGCGTAGTGTCGCGATCGTTTATAAAGAAGAAGAAGAAAAAGAAAGCTTGTTCTGTTAAGTTTTTGAGCATTATTATTATTGACAACAGGATTTATATTATATTTACTAATGCGTGTATGATACGTAAGTATGAATATATCACGGCATATTATTGAGATCCTTGCCACTCTATTTGCAACACGACGATGATCAGGCTATATCAATTTAATCCATAGGCGTAATTCATTTGTTACACCGGCGTAGTGTACTTTTGCTTTTATACTTGATGTGATAAGAAGAGAGGGAGGGGGGGAGGGGGAGAGAAAAACATGAAAAGCAAAAACAAACATATTCCATTGTAATTAAAAGAATGATCATCGTAAGAATTTCTACATCAATGTCCGCGCTTATCGCAATCGTATTTAGCACATACTAATGCTTTAATTGATTTAAATTTAGACGATTACACGGAAATGACTAAGCACGGCATATATGTCTCTGTCTCTTGAGAAATCGTTGCTATGTAAAAAGGATATCCGCTTTTACGTATGGCGTCGATAACCATATTGGCGTATAAAAGTGAAATTACAAGAATTTTCTTCTCTACGTGGAAGGAAGTTCGTTTTGGTATTCGGTATTATCAACATTATTACTATTATCATTATCATCGTTATCATCATCATCATCATCATCATCATCATCATCATCATCATCATCATCATCATAATTTGTGCTGAATCTTCGCTTTGTATGGTATTCATTTAAATGCGACCAAATGAAATAACTTTTGCACCGCAGACATGGCTATTGATTCTGTTAATACGCATGTATTAATTAATTTAATACTTCACTACACGCACAGTCGTATTTCATTCTATAAAATTTCCCGGCCGTGAATTTCCTTCCGATTTTCCGCGGAAACAAATCGATGAAAATCGAAAAAAGAAGAGGACGAGGAACAAAATATTATCTCAATCACCGACATATTTAATACGCTGATCTTACTAATAGTAGAGAATATATTTTATATGCAAACGATGAATGGTCGATTGCTTCATATGTCTGTCAATAAATGAAATTTGAAAATACGTCTAGTCCCGTGTTGAGCATGTAGTTTAACTTTTCTCTCTTTTTTTTTTCTTTTTTTTTGTTTTTTAAGACTTCCTCTTCCTGAAGGATCTTCAATTAGAAATGTCCCCTGATATGATTTGACAAGACACTAGTCAATTACATAGATATTGCCTGATAGATAAAACAAAATCAAGATTGACAGAATTAATATGCAATACTGCAGCAAAAAAGTCGTAAATAAATAACTTTGCTACTTCGTTGCGATATTTTGTCTGACTATATTTCATTATTAAATGTCGATCTTATATCTCATATACGTATGCGTACATTTACGAAACTCATGTAATTTAAACTATTTAACTTTCATTCGTTAATTGATGAATTCTCGCGTCAGAATAAATTGTCGTATACTTTCAAACTATTTGAATTTATATTTCCTATATAAACCGCCGTGAGTATCACGTGATGTACGTAAAATCACGTGACATCAATCACGTGATGTATACGTTCGTTTATATTTTTCCTCTATATTTCAATTCTCCCGAAATATTTTGTTACAAGATTGTCTCGGTATATATTTTTCAACATATACAAAACATATTACATATATATAACATACAAATGAAACAAACTCCAAAAGGAATATTAATGTTCGCGCACATTTCACGTCGACCAATCAGCATTCATGGTTTCTTCGAAACTTCATTAGTTACATACTTCGTATCCGTGATCAACGTTAACGGTTTTTCGAAATATTTAAAAATGTGCGATTGAATAGTAATCGTCGTAAAAACGTGAAATATCTTGGAAAGTTTTGATTAGTTCGTTTGATTTTTGATCTCGAGTTTCATAGATTCGTCCATGTCACAAATCTAAGTCGGTGAGTAAAAACTATAATTTTTATTCGAAAGCGTCAATAACCAAAAAGTTCATGATAATTGTTTTCGCCTTTTCTCATGATGATTGTTCTGTCGATTAACGTGCTTTAGTGCTATAAATTGCAATATTTTATAGTTTCGAAAAATATGATTTTATTAAAATTCTATTAAATTTTACAATGTTACGTATACGCATATAGATGTAAGTATATATGTATACATACACGTATAATTGAAGAATACAAGCATGCTATACAGTACGATACAAAGTATTTATTCATATAAATTCTACTCTGCTCGCATATTCACGCATACTTATATTATGAAAAAATTGATCAAACAGTCGACAAAAAAAAAAAAAAAAAAA